TGCTGCTGCGCATGATAACCAAACAAGCAGTCATGCTGCTGCGCATGATAACCAAACAAGCAGTCATGCTGACGCGCATGATAACAAATAAGGTCGTAAGTACGCACATGCCTGCGATAATTGCACCCTAATAAGAAACTTCTATTTTTACCCCTTATGTTAGTTTTGTTATCTCCTCTCAGAAGCAGTCTAAAATTCTGATATTTTATTTCGATGATGGAAATACGATTGGTTGATAAACCGATAGGTAGACAAATTCCGGTACTTTTTGTAATTATATATTGCCTTATCGTTCATTCGGTGCTCATTCAAGATCTCGGTTATACTGTAAGAATCACCTCAATATACCAGGAATAATGACTTAAGACTACCAAACTTCCCCGTATGCATCACTTTCATTAAAGCCCAAACTCTCATCCGTCATGCTCTGTACTCTTCTCACGTCCAAGCCGCGGCTCGAACGCATTATAAAAGTTACCCAATGACGACGCCATTCAGAGCACGTTGCGTACTGTGCCCGGTGCATTGCGGGCTCACTTTCTATCGACCCTCGGCTTAAATAAATTCAATCACTGAAGCACTTTCTCTGTGTTGCATCTTCATTTATATGCGACTGCATAGAAGTTAAAAATACATGCTCTTCAAAATTTAAGGGCTTTTTGCTACACGTCTTGATGTCGATAAAGAGTTTAAGCTCGCCCAGTGCAAAATCAAAGCTGAGAAATTATCTCTTATATTGAAGATTTTTCAATTTAGGTTGAAGACACGGGAATCAAGGCACGAGTTGACCACCTTTTATTATAGTTCTCAACTTTGATGAATGTTGCACATTTCGTTCTCTGATTAATTTCGTATCTCGTCGCATTAATGTTCAACGCTGGTTTGGAGGTTACTTTTCCAAAATGTTTCTTAATGCGTTCTATGTTTCATCGCATGTCCATGCGTGTTGTAAAACTCAAATAGCATCTAATATTTGTCTATCATCTATTAAGCTGCATAAAATAATTATTCTGCTGTTCGTGAATTATTGATGTGCTTTTGATGCATCTCATCAGAGACAGTCGCCGTATTTATGGTATTAATTTTATTAGCCCTGCTGTCTTTGTTTCCGGTATGACAAGATTTTCTCACTCGCATGAAAATATAACCCATTATATCCGGCCAACACTTTAATCAGTTAAAGTAGTCACGTAATACAAGGTTATAAGTAGACAGCTCTTGGTTGATATTGTAAACTTACAACTATAATTATATGGCACAAAACCCGTTCCTGCATGCGGCGTGACTCGATTTAAGGCCACCGAGGAAGCGGTTCTGCTGGCCTGTCCTATGGAAGATGTGTTTAATATAGTGTGTACCGTATGTATACACATAATACAGTGTATACCGTTCCGTACATGTATAATACTCGTATAGTGTGTACCGTATGCATGCGCCAGTTACCTGCACAAAATTTGTCGGGCGTTGATTATCGGCAAAGTTTTTTCTCCTATATCGTGTGCATTGGCCTTTGAATGGACGAAAGTTGTACTATGAGTTGATAACGCTGCAGCAGATTCGTGTTATAAAAATTATGCACTGTAACGGAACTTAAACAACAGGGGTTTTCTAATCAAGAGACCCTTGCTTTTTGGTAGGGCAAGGAGACGTGACAAGTGCGTCGCGATACGCGAGTCGAATTTTTCTGTTTTTCGCCTTCTGCTAAACTATTTAAAATAATATAAAAATTGCATAAACTTAAAAACAGCGGCAGAAATCATTGAGGCTCTCTGCATGAGACAGCTGTGATGGAGAAGGATGACTTAGTATGCTGAATGCTGACATAATTCTCTGAGTGAAAGGTGGCGCTCTGTTCGAAGCCACCACACCACGTTCCTTTCGCTAGTTTAAGAAATAATTGAGCTTCCCCTCATAACGGATGAAAATATCATTGTGACGATGACTACAATGATCAATGTTTAAACGTGATGTGAGTGTCCTCGTTGTGTTCTCAATGCGTGGTTCCGTAAAAAAGAAATCTCAGTATCGGATTCTGAAGCAATTTCTATGTCTGCCGTGTACTTTCCGGAAATTCACAATGATGCACGTGTGACCGGAAACACCGCCGCGAAGTCGAAATAGGTAAGGGTAGCGTGCCGATTTGACGGTGACTTGCGTATTGGTTTTGACACAAGGGCTAAAGAGTCGCTCTTTGGTCCGGCTCTAAATTCCCTTGCGTTTGGAGAGAGGAGGAATAAACACGAGGAACTTTTCTTAATATATGGGTGATCTTCGGGCGATACACAATTCCTCTGTACAAGGCACACAATTTATTAGGTCCAAAAGCTCCGAGAAACAGGGTCTCAGCCTCAGGGATACAACGTCGAGGAATCCTAATAAACCACTGTGGACCGCAAAAGCGGACAGCAATGATACGGGTACGAGCCGCACCACAAAACTGACTGAGCGCACACAACGAGGGGGTAACTCAGCCAAAATGAGCTTACCTCAACACCCCGTTTACAATGTACAAAACAGACTGTAAACACTTCCTAAGTGCAAAAAAATAGATAATATAATAATATACAATAAAGTCAACATATTTGTAATCCTTTGGCAATCTAATCACAGTTAAAAATCTAATAATCTTAAACTAATTCCAAAGAGACCAAACTCTCCATCGTTCACGACTACCTATCGCGCGTTATAACGAGGTTAGGAGCAGCTCGACCAATCACGTTGGAGCTACACCTTGTCTCGTTCCAAGACACTAAATCCTACAAACACCACAGCTAGACAAGATTCCATATTACGGTCACGAAATAAATATTCGTTTACACATTGTTTAGTCATAAAATAAACCCTTTAGTTAACAAAATAATAATATCACAGTTAAATGAGATTCCTTATTACAGTCACAAAATAAATGTTACAACAATTGACTAGTCACTAACCTAGCACAGGATTAATAGAACGTACAAGTAAACAAAAAAAAATATTCCACGAAATAAGCATCCCGTCATACACGCGTGCTATTGCAATGTCTTACTTGAAGTCAACTTCATAGCCTTTGTATTGGCGAAACAGGAACAGGTGGATCGTAAAAATCTTCACTTGGTTATGTTGAGGGATTAAAATAAATATTGTTTACCATGTCCGTATACAGCGTATCATTGCGTGACTAATCCTCAGCCAACCTTCAGCTATTCATCAGTGTGAAGTTACTAGCAATTGTCAGTGGGTTTGAAGATCGAATATTTTTTAATCAAGGCCAAATTGAATATGATTTTTCGAAAATTATTTCGTACCCATAAGCCACAACTGAAAAATTGTCAGAAGTGAAAGCAATTTCATTCGGCCTGAAGATCATTTGCTCCTGTTTATCTATTATTTAATGTTAAACTGCTCGGAAGAGTGAGTTTTATAAGTGGCTTATTTAGACCAGAAATGCTGCTGTAATAAATATATACATAGTTGTATTGCAGCAAGTAGCCGCATTTGTAACCTGCACCATAGCGCTTTGCGTACAGATTTCGTTTACACAGCATTTTAGTGTTCCTGTTTTGGTGTTCTATGTGTTACGTCTCTGAAGCCCTTTAATTTGCAATTCAAATGTTGTAATTATATGCCGTTTCCGTATTTTCGATACTGCTGTAAAGTTGCGGTTTTCTTCACGCTTCTTTTAATTTTGATAATACCTTTCCTCTGACGCCAGCTATGACGTGAGAATTTTACGATAGCTATATGATATTAGACTGGGGGGAATATGCATCATAATTTCCTTGCTCATCATAAGAATGAATTTTCGTGTAAAAATTTAACATTCTCACACACTAGATGTAAAACTCATCACGCCTGTGTATGCATGCATAGGCTGTATTAACATGGGTCTCTGGAACTCGGACAATCAGTAGGCATTACTTTGTATTGCGCTCCTCCCGAGAGGTTCGCAGGGTCAAGCATTTTGCTCAGCTTTTTTGCGGTGCCACTAGGAAAGAGTGGAAGAGAACAAGAGATGGCGCAGAGTGGCCAGAAAAAGGAAGGGGAAATAGAAAAGACAGTAGGAGATGAAAAGGCCTATTGCGCATGATTTGATCGTTTATAGGTGGTGGGGGTTTGTTCGCCTACTTCGAACCTACTCGCTTACCTACTCTGCCGGCTGCCCCTGCGTTGCAGCAACCACTTGCATATAACCGTAGCACCGATCAAGACACAGGTTGGCGTGGCATTCGGTCACGCTGAGTGTGACGCGTCAGATATAACACTGACGTCCTTCGAACCATGAAGCTCGGTTACCGGCCACATTTATTATATTGCTTTAAATAAGGTTATTCTTAGGTCAAAATATTCAGTTTAGGTTCTATTTATAAATCTTAGAAATAATATCATCATGAGCAAGTACTAACAAACTGGAAACGTATGTTATGTTAATGAAGCTTAAAGTAGATGCTTCCTGATTTCGCTAAAAATGTCGCCCCAATTGATCCTGTCTTAACACCTGATGACTTTGATCAATATCCCCCACAACCTAACTCGGATATAGACAAAATACGACGCAATTATTTTCTCTTCTTTAATTTGTCCTTCCCTTCTGAATTCAACCAGAACCTGCATGCGTTCGACCAAGGCTTTTAGTGCAATTAAGGAGGGATGGGTTTAGCAAGACAACCCTCCTGTTTACTCACTTGTTTTACTTTCTTCATTCAATTTTTCCCTGCAGTTATTAACGTGGTGGATCAATTGGCTTCTGCCTTTATTGACCAAAAGACAAATCGGCTTTTGCGTTAATTTCCCTATGGATCAATTATTGGTTCTGCATAAACTGACAAATAGATCAATATTATCCTGCAATATCAATTGTCGGTAACTTATTCATCAATTGACTAATAAAACAATTAACTAGTGAACGGATTCTCGACTAATTAGTTATGGATCAATAAATTGAGCCCACACTCCAAATGAATTTTGCGGGATGGATTTAAAAACTAGAAATGTTAATCTGTTTATTCGTTTCTTTACAGATCCCCAACAAGCTCAAAGATTGAATCACAGTTTCGATTCGGGCGAGATGCGAATTTTCGCCGGTATCTGTCCAAGTTTACTCCACTCTTCCCCCATCGAAATACAATCACTTTCTTTTCTAAATGACGTCGCATGACGTAACGTACCGTCATGCCAGCCAACACTCCAGCACCCATCGTGCTCGTAATATTAGCTGCTCTGCTCATCTCCTGCAACGTCTTCTGGCTCTACACGACTCCTGACAACACGACTAGAAGTGAGTCATGTTCCACACAAATTTTAACCCCACTATCCCCTCACTACAATCCCGGTGTAACCCCACTATCCCCTCACTACAACCCCGCTGTAACCCCACAATCCCCTAACAACAACCCCGCTGTAACCCCACTATCCCCTCACTACAACCCCGCTGTAACCCAAACTCCCCCGCACCACATACCCGCTGTAACCCCACAATCCCCTCACTACAATCCCGGTGTAACCCGAACTCCCCCACACCACAGACCCGATGTAACCCCACTATCCCCTCACTACAATCCCGGTGTAACCCCACTATCCCCTCACCATAACCCCGCTGTAACCCCACTATCCCCCCACTAAAACCCCGCTGTAACCCCCGGCACATGGCAGGTGTGTGCGGACACCTCATAGACACTTGGTCGGGGTCCGCGAGGCGGTCCAAGGACGCTGTGAACGCGTCGGTGGCGGCGCTGCCGGGGGGCGTGCGGGACTACCAAGTGGTGCGCGGCAGTGGCCTCAGCGACGTGCCCTTTCCCATCCCCATCCCCAACGACACGCTGCTGCTGGGGGAGGACGTGGGGCGTGATGACGGGTGTGTTTGGGAAATGCATTTTAGTCTTGCTTTGAATTTTTTTCGATTTCTAATCTTCTCGAAAACGTTCCAATTGTATTGTTATTTTGATCTTGAAACAATTTCTATAACAATTATTATTTATTTGATTATTTTTTGATTTGATTATTTTTTCATATAAGAATATGAAAAATTCCTCCATAAAAAAATTTGACATTCCTCTCAAAAAAATAATTTTGATTATTTTTTAAATTTAATATAAATTTCGAATTTTGGATTAGTTTTTTCTGTCAATTCATTTTTTTCAGTTACACTTCACCCCACAGTAACCAACTTCAACTGGAGTCTCCTATTCCGTCCTCCAATTTACCCCTTCACATTCATCCAATTATATTTATAATTGGATGAGAAAATAATTTATTTTTTCATCATAATTATTTTTAATCCAATTTATACCCCCAGGCTGCGGCAGCGCTACCTGACCATCGGCATCGCGTCTGTATGGCGCAAGGAAGAGTACCTACACCGCACGCTGGACTCCCTCCTGAGGGAGACCTCGGGCGCCGACCAACGCGACGTCTTCATCTTCCTGCTCCTCGCTGATGCCGACGCCGATATCAGGTCGAGCCTGTAGCAGAGTTTGAGCAGGATCCCTTGGTTGAGCAGGAACCAATGTTTGAGTAGGATCCCTTGGTTAAGCGGGAACCAATGTTTAAGCAGGAATTCTTGGTTGAGCAGGAACCCTTGTTTGAGCAGGGTCCCTTGTTTGAGCAGGAACCCTTGTTTGAGCAGGAACCCTTGTTTGAGCAGGAATCCTTGAATTGGCGGTATTAAAAAAATAACAAGTACTCAAATTAAGCCTATTTCGATTTGAATGCCCTAGGTTATGTCAAAAAATTCCGGCAAGGCGAGATTGGCCTCGTTTTGATCTGTTGTATGCCCCACGGAGACCAACTTGCAACCTTCACCATGCACTAAACTATGCGTGCTGGGAATCTGTACGGACTCAGGTATCTTCCATCTTGGTTTGAACTTATCTTGACATCATTTTGAGAGTTCAGTCCAAATATATCTCTACGGCAGTGATATTCTGCTCCGCGCGATATGATCGGTCATATAAAGTGGGATAAAAAGGTCCTGAAACTCTGCGTCTATTCCCTACCGTGTACCTGATATCGACTCGCCTATGGCTCGTTCGATGCTCATTTCAAGGCAACGGTATCCTTGATACTTTAGGGAACGATTTTATCTTCTCATCGGCAATGTTATTCATATTGAATTTCACGATTGGGTCCAGGGACTCGATAAAGATGCATTTCTATTGCAAAGTCCCGTTGAAATTTATCGGTGACGAACCGGCCGCCTTTCATTCCTAATCTTTTAACATGCAAACTTTTCGAACATAGGCTTATCTAAACGTTCGGATTCATTGAGTATAGAAGCATTTTAAATGAATTTTTCATTCGTGACTATCGACGGTATCTTTTGACTGAAAATCTTTCAAGAAAATGTTGAACTCAATGCTTTACTTTCTTCATTTTTTCATTGATTTTCATTTTTTGTCATATTTTATTATGTATGTCCCCAGGCGAAATTAAAAAAAAAAACAAATTTGTTGATTGTACGAACATCAAATCACTATACAGCTTTATAAAAATGTAATAATGTCAATTACAAATTTACTCCGATCATGTATGAATTCTAACATCACCATGTCAGTGATAAAAATTGGTTGTTGTTTTTTTTTAAGTGCAAATATTTCAAATACACTTAAGCAGTTAATATTAATTTATTTTTTTTTCATTCCTGTCATTGTCAAATTGCTTTTAGTATCTCTAAATTCGATTAACTTCAATTCGCTTGCATGATACATTATTTCGCCTTCAAAGACGACTTGAGATCGCCAATTTTATATTAAATAGAAATAGACCCTTGATTTAATTACTTGTATTCTAAGTTATCACACACCCAAACAATAAGAAAGTGGTAATGACTAATTTTTCTCTTGAGTCGTGTGCTAAGTCCAAGAAAAATAATTCAAACGGAATATGTATTTACTGTGACATTATTTACGCTCATGAATTAAACGCATTTATTTCTTGTCATGTTTGAAGGCTAGCCCGCGCTCGGGCGATAGAGTCGCGGTACAGACAGCACATCACGGCGGGTGTGATACGCGTGTTACAGCCGCCAGCCGTACTCTACCCGTCCATAGACTTCACGGCCATACGTCGTACCTACAACGACTCCGTCAGCCGTGTGCAGTGGCGTACCAAGCAGGTATTGACTATAAGGATAATTTCATATAGTTTTGTTCGTATTGAGGTCCTTAAATATGTGATATATGAGGTCCTTATGCACTTGCAACATTACAATAACACTTGCAATATATGAGGTCCTTAAGCACTTGCACTATATTAGGTCCTTAAGCACTTGCAACATTACAATAACACTTGCAATATATGAGGTCCTTAAGCACTTGCACTATAGGTCCTTAAGCACCTGCAACATTACAATAACACTTGCAATATATGAGATCCTTAGGCACTTGCAACATTACAATAATTCTTGCAATATATGAGGTCCTTAGGCACTTGCAATATTACAATAACATTTGCACTGTTTGAGAGCCTTAAGCACTTGCAATATAACAATAACACTTGCAATATTTGAGGTCCTCAAGATAGAGTGCGTGTTTTAGGTTTTGTGGGACATAGTTTAATGGATTCGATTGCCGACAAGAGGTAGCAGTGGCATGCGATGGCATAGTTAGCAAAGATCTTATGGAAGGGATCAAAATCAATTATATTACTCGTGATGCTGCATGATTCTTCAACTTGAAATTTTCTAACCTCCTGCAAATCGCAATTAGTCACAACTTTCAGATCTTTAAATTAAACGCGAAATCGATTTTAATGGCGGACCATTACGACCTATATGAACATTGTGTTCTTTTTTTGAAACTGAACATCTGGATTAAGTGGTATAGATATTTATTCAGGGTTTTCATCTATGCAACTTATTTTATTCCTGTTATAACCGCACTATGCAATTAATACCGTATAAAAAAAGGATTTCAGCATTTGTAGAAGAAATTGCATATTTGCTGTATACATGTGCAGTCGACGTAGCCGATGATAGTTTAAATTCATTCATTTATCTCGCGCAATCTTGCTTTTTTACCACGTTTTTCTTTTCTCTTCGTGTCCGTCTGGCATCAAAAATTCAAACCTTAATTTAGAGCACTTCTGAAGATTCTAGCAACTTTAAATTTGCCGTGCATGAATATGCTGCCTAACAATTCAAGATTTGATCATCAGAAGTATAAAAAATACAAAAATCCTAAAAATTCAAGGTTGGGATTCGAGGTTTTTTGTCGAACATCCAGAGTTGCCAACCCTGGAAAATGATTTGAATTGCTAATATTGCTAAATTAAAAAGTAGAAAACAATTAAATATATAAAACCATTTTTAAAAATCACGTTTTTCTGGTGTTTACAAAACTAAAAACAATGAAATTAAACAAATAAAAAAAAATTTAAAAGCCACGTTTTCTTAACGGATAAAAAAGAAAAACATTTACTCTTACATAACATTACATAACATTTTACATAACTTTAATGTAACGTAAGAGTTAATGTTTTTCCTTTTTGTCCGTTAAGAAAACGTGGTTTTCAAAAAATTTTTTATTTGTTTTATTTCATTGTTTTTAGTTATGTAAACACCAGAAAAACGTGGTTTTGAAAAATGTTTTTTTTTTTTTTTCATTTATTTTGGCTCCACCTCGTGTGTTTAGAACCTAAAACTTACTTTAAGATTTTTCCGAAGATCCTTCATTTTCTATTTATTGTTTCAATTACATAAATTAACTTTTATACTCTTTCTTTAAATCTGACTATCTTATAATTCCTCATATATACATGTAACGAGTAGATATCAAAACTTAAGCTGCTGGATGCCACTCAATGACTGGACTTTATCCACCCCCAATTCATCGTGCTCCAGGTGCTGGACTTCGCTTTTCTGTTCTGGTACACGTGGGCGCGACAGCCTTCGACCTACTACCTCATCCTGGAGGACGACGTTCTTGCCGCACGTCACTTCGTCACCGCCGTGCGCGACTTCGTACGTCTCCACTCAAAGCGCGAGTGGGTCGCTCTTCAGGTGAATTCCCTTTTCAAGTGAGATCGCGCTTCAAGTTAGTTCCCCTTTCAAATGAATTCCCCCTTTCAAGTGAGTTCCATTTCAAATGAATTCCCCTTTCAAGTGAGTTCCCCTTTCGAATGAATTCCCCTTTCAAGTGAGTTCCATTTCAAATGAATTCCTCTTTCAAGTGAGTATCTCTTTCATATGAATTCCCCTTTCAAGTGAATTCCCCTTTCAAGTGAATTCCCCGTTCAAATGAATTCCCCTTTCAAGTGAGCTGCCCTTTCAAATGAATTCCCCATTCAAGTGAATTCCCCTTTCAAGTGAATTCCCCTTTCAAATGAATTCCCTTTCAAGTAAGATCGCACTTCAAGTGAGTTCCCCTTTCAAATGAATTCCCCTTTCAAGTGAGTTCCCCTTTCAAGTTAGTTCCCCTTTCTAGTGAATTCCTCTTTCAAGTGAATTCCCTTTTCAAGTGAGTTCCCCTTTCTAGTGAATTCCCCTTTCAAGTGAGTTCCCCCTTCAAGTGAATTCCCCTTTCTTGTGGATTCCTCTTTCAAGTGAATTCCCCTTTCAAGTGAATTCCCCTTTCAAGTGAGTTCCCCTTTCAAGTGAGTTCCCCTTTCAAGCGAGTTCCCTTTTCAAGTGAGTTTCCCTTTCAAGTGAGTTCCTCTTTCAAGTGAGTTCCTCTTTCAAGTGAGTTCCTCTTTCAAGTGAGTTCCCCTTTCAAGTGAGTTCCCCTTTCAAGTGAGTTCCCCTTTCAAGTGAGTTCCCCTTTCAGGTGAGTTCCCCTTTCAAGTGAATTCCCCTTTCAAGTGAGATTTAGCTTCAAGTGAGTTCGCACTTCACGTTAGTTCACGCTTCAAGTGAGTTTATGAGACTTTACTATTCATTTCCGACTTTACTATTCATCATCTAAATGATCTTCTGCCAAAATTATTTAAGATCTGGAATATTATGCGCGCATTCTTCAAAAATGTCTCAAAAAGATTCCTCCAAACGGCATTTGGTTGTCTTACATAACTGCGTTGAAGTTTAAACATCTTAATCCTTTTTTCAAGACTGAATTTATTTTCCCATAATTCTGGCCACGAAGCAGGACACGGTGTAGGGCTAATGATTTTTCAATGTTCTAGTATGAGTGTAGGACATTTCAATGACCATTGTTATTTATAAATTAGAAATACTTCAAGTGGTGATCTCCAATTACCAGTTTCATGCGTTTCCTAATTTTTCTATAAAAAGAAGTTAACAGATTCAACTTTCAAATGTGTGAATAATTTTTAGTAAATTTTACTATCCAGTTTCCCCTTCTCATCTACACAGTTATCCGGTTTCATGGGCATCGGTCAGCTGATTCGCTGCAAAGATTTGGACAGACTTGTATCGTTCTTGTTGCTGTTCTACAAAGAACATCCCGTCGACGTGCTGTTCAATCACTGGGTCTCGATGATGGTACCTCAAAAGCCTCCCAAAGACATCCCATATCGCAGGGTGCCGGGGCTATTTCAACACGTCGGCATACACTCCACTCTGGCCAACAAGACTCAGACTCTCAGAGACTCCACTTTCAGGTAATTTAGATTTTAATACAGTTTCTTTACGAACGTGAAAACTTTATAACTCTGAAAAACCACGACTTCGATGTACATGAAATCGTATCTTACATGCCAGAACTTTCATAACCTGAAACCCATGCAGCTACTCCACATTGCCACATCTTTCAGAATCATGAAACTCATCTACCACAGAATACCACAACTTTCCAAAACATGAAACGTTCTAGCTTCAGAATGTTTTAACTTCTACAAACTCGATTCAACGCCTTTATTGAAATTTGAAATTTGAAAAGGACAGAAATTTAGTAGAGAGTCTTCAAAGACGCGCAACAAGAATAGTTTCGGGCTTGAAAGGCAAGTCCTATGAGGAAAGATTAAAGATTATGATGCTTCCAAGTCTCAGGTATCGACGTCTGCGTGGGGACCTCATTGAAGTATACAAGTATACTCATGACTTATACAAGGTCCCAGAAGGATTACTAGAATTTGAAACAAGAACCAACATCGTGGTGACCTCATCGAAGTTTAAACGTTTACCTACAGTAACCTACCGTTTATACCAGGTCCCAGAAGGATTACTAGAATTTGAAACAAGAACCAACAGTCACCGACATGTGGAACAGCCTCCCTGATAGCATTGTTGACGCTCCGAGTATGAACATCTTCAAAAACAGACTAGACGAAGCTATACAGGAGCATATGTTCAGTCTTAAAATGCCTAGCAAATTACGGACCAGGCAATAAGTCCAGCAGCTATCTCAATCAATCGTCAGCTATGGAAAGATCGGGTTCCAAAGGCCGGATCCTTTGTGAATCAAGTCACGAAAAGTTCAAGAATCGGCAACAGGCCATAGGCCTATTTCTTCAACGCCGACACTTCTATTCTATTCTATTCTTCTATTCATTATTTCAGTTGAACTATTCTGTCAAGTATTGATTAAGGTTTTATTGACAATAACGACAGAAATTTACCGCTGGCGTGATGAAGTACCGTTTCTCACCGGCAGCCACTAATGAAAAATGTAGACACCCTTATATTTATTATGTTCTACATCATAAAATGTGTTGACAATGAGAACCATGGATGCTAGATCTACAATGATAACAACGTTATCGTTGTAGATCCCCTTAATATTGTCTTAACTCAAGGACATTATTTTACTCATGGATATTGCTCTAACTCGTGCATATTGTTCTAACTCATGGATATTGTTCTAACTCATGGATATTGTTCTTACTCATGGATATTGCTCTATCTCATGGATATTTTCTTACTCATGGATATTGTTCCGACTTATGGATATTGTTAAACTCAAGGATATTGTTTTACTCGTCGATATTGATCTAACTCATGAATATTGTTCTAATTCATGAATATTGTTCCAACTCAGGGATATTGTTCTAACTCACTGATATCATTCTAACTCGTGAATATTCTTATTATTAATGAACATTGTTCTAACTCATGAAAATTTTTCTTACCCATGGTATATATATTTTATTAATTTATTATCTATATTACACTTATGTTAATTCAACCATGATAAATAAATTTTTCGTCTCTAGCTTAGTCAAACGCCGCTTCTCGCACGTGAACCCCCCCGCCGAGGTAGTGACCACAATACGGCAGTACAAGTCCTTCGTCGCACCGCTCGCCTACAGCTCGGCGCCGGGACTGTTCTGGGGCGTCCCGAGGGCCGGCGATACATACGATATCGTGCTCACCACGCCACTTATCGTCACGCGTATCGTTATCATCACTGGAGCTACCGTCTCCAAAAAGAAGGTAGATTCTGTTTCCATTACGTATTTAATAGTGTTTTTTTCATTCATGGAAGTGTGTTGTTCATATTTGTTGTTAGTGTCTTATTCATGTCTAGTTCAAATGCCTATCATAGTCATTTGTAACGTTTCAAGACTACGCGATCAAATTTTTGACGGATTGTTTACTTATTTGAGTTATATCTATGAATATAATTTCGTATTTTTGAATCAATGGCTAATTATTAAATGGGGTAATCACGTCCACAATAGTTCGTTCCCCACATTTGCGATGTTTTCCAAAAAGGGCATTATTGCCGTTCAGTGAAAGAGTTAAATGTCTAATCTCATTTCAGACACGCGACAGATTGCTGTTCGGGCAGCTGCAAGTGTCGCCTTTGTTCGAACGGATGTTGTCGCCTAACCGAGCGCAGTGCAAAAATTTTGTCGCCATCCAGGAATTCAGCAACGGCGAAGTCGACGTCAAGGACATCAACGAACGTTTCGAACGCGGCATCCAATGCATCCGAGTTGTCATTGGAAGCAAACAGCGCACATGGATATCGATTTCCGAGATTGCTGTATTCACTGAAAACCCAGAAAATACAAATACGGTGTCTGATCCTGTAAAAAGAGATGAAAATAATTTAATAAAATCTGTGCCAAGTGTCAGTATTTCTTCGGCCAGTACAACGAGCTCGAAAATTTACCATGTAACCGTTTCAGCGGAAAAGTCGATCATAAAATCGATTAGTTCCAAAGCTATTAATGATTTACACATGACGATTAGTCCAACATCGATCTCAAAAACCGCCCAAGGTGATTTCAATTCTCGATTAAATTCCACTAAATCTACCAATATTACAATTTCAGTTCCTCAAGATCCAGTTGTTAGTAGTCAAAATTCAATAATCCAAGCTGGACGTGAGCCGTTCACAATATTTCCTAACAAACATAATAGTGCTGAAACGGAAGTCAATGCTTCATTTCGCGAAGAAAGAAGTGTCACAGAGTCCCTTGTAAATAAGATTGATAATAGTGTTAATAAAGTTAGTGAAAAAATCATCAATGCGTCTAGTCATGATTTCCAGCGGAAAAAGCAAATCGTTTCTGCATTGCAAAATCGAAACCTGGATTTGGAATTAGAAAAGTTACGGGTAATAAAGAAAAAACTACAAATGCAAGACTTGAATAGAATTGGCAAAACAGGAAAATATTTAGACGACCGCAGAATGCTTGAGAATTCAGTTGAAGAACTCGATGAAAATAACGATGACGCAATGATTCTCGATGAAGACCCATCGCCTGAGTCCAGGAATCGTACTGAGCGGCTGAGTCGCTTGCACGATTTGCTGGTGAGAAGCATGAGAATCTCCGACGCTGCGGACGAAACCGAGTAAACCGTTACTGTGGCCGCCCAAATTATCCTAAAATTCTGGATGCATTTAAGCCCATGAAATGCGCAGTAATTTTCAAATTGTAAAGTTAAAAGTTGAAAAAGACTTTATTTGTGGTAATTTCGCATCGTTAAACAAGTGAATTTATGCTCAGAAATTAAACCAGAACTTAGAATAGTTTTTGGTGCACTGTGTGCCGCCAAGGCGCATCATTTTACTTCATAGCAAATAGCGATTTCAGCGAACATATTTTTCATAGAACATTTTATTATGTTGAAGATAAAATTTATTATAGAAGAACATAATTTATCATAGAACATTTTGAATTTCATTGCAGGGAACTGCTGAAGAAATGACGCTCTTGCAAGTCGTCCAATCTCAATTCACAGAAGAAATAAAATGTAAAAAAATTACTTATAGAAACAGTGCAGCTTGCAAAGCAGTTCATTTTGGTTTTAGTTCAGTTTTATTATATTTTTACTGTTGTTTACTACTTGTTACTTATTTAGCTAAGATTATGAAAATATTTCAATTCTCTACTGCTAAATATCTTCCGTTCGTATATTTATTGATTATTATTAAAATATTTCGTTCTTATTATTAAAATATTTCGTTCATCTCATTATTGCCATAATTTTGTTAACCTAATTTGGATGAGCAGTATAATTGTGGGATTTAATTCACGTACGATGTAATTTTATAGCATAATTCCAAATATATAAATCATCTTTGGTAACTAAGATCAGTTTCAACTCCTGTAAAACTACGTATAAAATTGTTTGATTGGCGCATTTCTTTTTTGTTAGCAAAATTCTTCTTTCAAACTCATAAAATCCGAAACATTTCGATTTTTTTACGTGGAAACCTCTTCTTTTGTGTAAAGACATACCGATATTCTTAAAGTTCATTGAGCTCATTAGAAAAATTAGAACAAAGTAGAACAGAAAGAACAATCTCTCATAGCTGAATCCCTATTTAAGTATTTTAAAATGTGTGACTGCAATGAATGTTGAAAGTCTAAACTATTTAGTGTATTTGAATATCATGAAGGCACTTGTATGAATGTAACACTTGTAAACAATTATTTGGGCACCACGGCTGCTGGCGTCGCAGCATCTTATTTAACTGTGATATGCTAAATTCCAGAACATTCCACGAATCTCCTCTATAGACTCCTGCGTCTCGGAATAATTTTCCCGAAATGAACCGGGACAACCGGGGCGAGACGAGAAATTACGTAGAAAAAAATTACGGGACAGAGGGTAAAATTTTTAAGAACATACGAACCAGGACTAGACTTCTGTCCCGGATTTTAAAACTCGTGTCTCGGAAATTATGAAACGATACGAGACAGATAGATACAAAACGAGACATGACGCAACGAGACGAGACATGTGGGAACAAGATATTCCTTACTATACAAAAATAAAACAAAATATTCCGAACACGTGATTAAGGAATACCAAGTTAGCCTCTGATTGTTAATGAGCAGTAGCCAGTCATGAGCAGATTCGGCTACATTTATCTGCCTAACTAAATTGGTAGATAAACTAATGGGCAGATTTGACGATGTGGGGCTGAATATTTAGTGAATGATATTGATGTTGAGCTTTCAATCGCGCATGACGAGAAACATATACGAGGTCATTAGGTACGCTTAATATGGCATCATCATTAGCCGCTTAGAAGAGGGTGGAAGGGCTCTCTTTGGTCGTGCAAGTTTCACGAATCTGAAGTGGTAACTGGAAATATTTTGGGGAGCAAAGAAAAATCGAGACCCATGATGACCGAGGTATAAACCAGGCCAATTATCGTCCAAAATAGATGAATTTTAAATTTCATGTAGACCCGTTCAGAACTGACGGACTTGTAAGCTGTTCAGTTGCGTAAATTTTTTTTAAATCGAAAGCGAAATGTCGTAAAAATTTGTATTAATTCCTTTCCCTGCGCATTTCTAACAATTAATAATTTCACAATTCTCAATTTCACTCTGGCCCTTCAAATTTGCTAGATGGTCAATAGCGAAGTCATTTTACATAATAAAATACCTGAAACGTTGTAAACAGACAAAATGTTGATCAGAGAATATCTTAAACAAATAAATATAATAATTATTCTAATTATATATTAAGGACATATCATGTCTCGTTATAAAAGATTTAAATTCCGGGAAATATTAAAGCTCCTATTTTAACTGGGACGTCTCGTCTCGGTATTGTCCCGAATTCCCACCCAGTGCTGGATATCGTCCCGGTTTTTTATTGCTAACCTGGACAAACTCATCTGCTGTCTCGTCTCGAATGGGAAAAAGCACCAAACGTAGGAGTCGACTCCTATAAGATTATCCTGATATGTATAAGATAAAATGTACATTAATTTCTGAAGAAGATATAATATAAACTATCATTAATGTTGTAATGATGTCGCTCAATGTGTACAGCTTGAATGTCCAGTAGTTTAATGTGAAATGTTTTTCTATATGAAAGCACTACATAGAATGTTAAAAACATTCATGAATTAGCAGTGCAAGCGATAAATTATCACGAAGATCTCATAAAATTCTGTATTACCTTGTTGATGTAGTTAAGAGTTGCAGATTAATAGAAATATATCACTTAATGTCATCATAGATATTTTTTCAGCCGGCACGCATTAATGTTTTCGATTACATAGTTGGCTACGTTCGATCTCTGTCTGTAATGGGAGAGCATATTAATTAGCTCATTATTCTCCTTCTATTATCTACTGAAACAACGACGTCCCTGTATAATTTCTGCATTTTTTTACATTCATAATTTAAAAATTCATTTATCAACTTAGATGTGAGTTTCTCTATTTTATCACCTGCCAATATATGTACATATTTTATTTATGAGTGTTCAGAAGACTCTCAACAATTTCGGTTGTCTTTGATTCATCTATTTCTTTACCTTAGGTCTGTTTTTTTTTATCAGGATGCTCCAATTTGTTTTTTCATCGACGCTTCCCTTGTTTTATCTTTGAATAAAAAATTAAAAATGCATTTCAGCTTCCATGCTCATTAATGTCCGCTAAACTTGGTCAATATTCCAGATGTTTGTGGTCACCTGCAATTAGATACATTTTATCGGCAATGTAAAATCACCCAACTAATCTATTGGTGCGTAAGTTTCTTAAAAAAAATCCAAACAAATCATGCTTACTGTTTTTGAGACCACACGATCCGCAATTGATTGCTTGTTCAAAAATAATTTAGAAGTTGTTTCAAGTTTACTGGAGAAGTAGTTAGTCGTCAAATTTATTTTCAAATTTGGGACGAACAAAGTTTTCTTGTAGGAGTAAAACTGCCACAACGCATTAATATATGAGCCGTCCTTCTCCGTGCAATGCACGAGTGCGTGCCAGTATACAAAGATAATAATTCACACAATAATTCAAATGTTTAAAACATGTATATTACAAAATCTATTTACATGTTTTCGAAGACTGACGACATGAAAAATTTATATTCATTGCAGGGATTGCCTCAATATTTTCAACATTTCGACATGAATAATATAAAATATGTTCTATTCTGATTTTACATGTTTCCCTAAATCGTATTTTGTTCAATACGTTTTTGTTCGTAGCATTGAAAATATGAAAATTTCTATGAGTTCAACTAATAACGAAGGCAATACTAATTTTAGTTTCTAACGAAACATTTAATTGCCCTCAGATTTCTTCGCGTTGGAAATTCGGAAAAAATTTCAATATATTTTATTGTTCAATTATTTAATGTAAAGAATTTCGTAAATTTAAAATGACGCATTTCATTTACCCTTATGCGTAAATTCAACTGGGTACGCCACGTGATAGATTTTTTCTCTAAATGAGCTACCTTCTTCCTTCTCAACGATGTTCCCAACAGACCATCGCGCATTACACATTCCATGCTTTCTCCTATGCAACCATATATCAGTAAATTCTTTCATCTTCACATGTAAGATATTTACATATATGATCATCTATTATCATCACCGCAAAAATTAGATTCGAGAAATCACAGTAAAAATAAGATTCATGCTCAACATAACAGAAAACCTCATGTATAAGGAAAATTTGAAATGTCTCGGCCATTCGCAACGTCAAATTTGACTCACCAATTCAAGTGCGAAGTGCTTGCGTTTCTTCATCTGTATTTCCCTTAAGTAATTAATTTACCCTCTGGACAGTACGGCGGCGTATTGTCCAGATGGTCAATTCATTACTTAAAGGGAAATACAGATGCGGGATTGCATTTTTCAGGGAACAATTTGCATGTTTCAGGGACATACAGATGCAGGGATTGCAGTTTTCAGGTAACAATTTGCATGTTTCAGGGACATACAGATGCAGGGATTGCATTTTTCAGGGAATAATTTGCATGTTTCAGGGAAATACAGAAGCAGGAAACAGTTAGAATTCACATTGAAAAAGTCATACATGCTTTCGCACTATGAGAACAATTGTTTTTTTCTTTACGCCGGCGCGCGGTTTACTGGGATATAACATTATTATGATTTAATATTATTATGAATATCGAGTTTATTTATGAGTCATTTTTATATGTATATACATGAACGGAAAAATTAAATTAAAATAAAAATTTTGAACCATTGATAATAAAGGCTCTTAAGACTAAAGGAAATTACACAGAAGCATTAATTAATTCCTCATTAATTATTAATTATACTCAATTATTTTAAGTTTATAATTGATTTATAGCCGTACACATCTCGAAAAAAAATTGAAACAATGAACATCAAAATAATGAATATTGGCAACATGCATAAATGCACGAAAACATATCGACAAAAAGGTGGGTTAGGTTTTTTAAATATAATGACGAGTTATATTAAAAAAAACATGTTATAACCAAGATCAGGTAGCGCCAGACGTCGTCACGCCGAAACAATGACTCGCGCGGTCACGTCACAACGAAGCAGAACGCAACAGCGAAACAATTAAGTTTCGCAGGCGAACAGAAAACTACAATGAGAATTTCAACGACGAAAGCTCTCCTGAAAATATAGCGTCAGAATTCGTGTTTTTGCGAATTTTTAGGCGATTAATTTTTGATTTAACATCTAAAAATACGTTAAAAATTTACAAATATATCTGGTAAAATTGCCAAAGAAATCTGGAGATTTTGTCATTCAAACGTGTTCTAATCTTGCTTGGAAAATTTATTACAGGGGCGTCTCATTGTCCTTAAGATTCTCCTTCTTTTCATTCTTTCAATAAGTATATGAGAGCTATCTCCAGCTTGCAGAAGATTATTTTAATTTTATTATATTTCTCATCATAAATTAAACTAATAATGAATTTATACATACTTTCTTAACATATTTGAAATGTATTCATAATTTAAGAAAGTTTTCGCTAGCCCGAGGAGTACCACCACTGGAAATATATAACAAAAAGAATTTAGGTACAATTGACGTAGATCTAATCTGTTGTCCTTGATGCTCGGTGGCTTTTAGGTTTAAAGGACCCAGGTTAAAACAAAGATTTTACATTAATTCAAAAGTAATGTCAAGTCACACAGGTCGCAGGGCAAGTGAAGTGTGGAGAATGTTTGCTGGGTGAAAAAATGATATTGTTAGTTGCCGCGCTGGCGGCACAACTTAGCTGATCAATCTCAATTAGTCAGCAATTTATGCTCATAAATGCTCACCTTATTTAATAAAAAATAAGCGCCTATGCAAAATGCATTTAGAGGCATAGTTTTGATGGCAGGCCGGCGAGTTCATCATAAGTCCGAAGATGAACGCGCCCGCGCAGTTCCGGTAAAAAATACCGCCATAGTTCAGGTATTTAACTTTTTGGTATTCAATCACGAAGAGTAAAAAGTTAAGGCGGGTTAAAGCATGGGTCACTGAGAAGTAATCCGCTAATCTAAATCGATCTTTGCCTTCATTATTATTAAATCAGAGCATAATCGAGTAGCACTTTAGGTACATAGTATTCTTCGCCAAGAACGTACTACTATAACACGGTCAACCAGAAGAAGAACACTCAAAGCATCCCAAAGTGAAAAGTAAGTAATAAAACGTTGAGCACAGAAAAATAATTTCAAATTTAAATTTTATGAAACTATCTGAAAACTTAGGGGCGACAATAGCTGTAGAAATGGTCGGAACGAGAGTCAAGAATCTGTTGAAATGGACTCTGAAATGAACTAATTAATGGGGTCTGAAATGAACTGACATTTAGAGGTCTGACTAGAGTGTGTCTTCTAAAATAGAGCGAGCTCTGTCTCTTTATGGCAGTGCTCCCAGCAGCCAGGCTGGAAATTTTTCCAGCATTTTATCATTACGTGAGTGTTTACTTGCGCCTCAATGAACTTATTCCCGACAAATTTCTCTACCGCTAATAATAGCATACGTGACTCACTGATTCTTGAGCAATTAGGAAATTACTACACACGAATGTGTGTATTAGGTCCGCCTTGCCTGTCACTGCTTCTATACAACTGTGCCAAATATTAATAGTAAGCAGCACAAGAAAGCACCAGTGCCATGGTGGCGGTCCTGGTGGAGGGTTGTTTGTACAGCGTGCTCTCGTTGTTGCTGATCACTTCCTTGCACTTGGTTATTTTATTGTCTGAGAAAATCAATGTGAATAATTAGTATTTCAGATAACTTTATCTTTCAACAAAAAATATTTTTAGCCTTCAAGTCAAAAGATTGTTAACCAAAGACTGTATCTTGCAAATGCATATGATGACGTATTCGATTACTACGTAAAGAAGAAATTATATTACAGAAATTATCAGAAGTGTTAACTGTTGATTTGAAAATAGTGAAAAATGCAGGATATATCAATTTGCTCCAAGTACATGATTTAAGTTTTATATATGGGTTAATCAATAACGCAGGCGTCAGTATAACTTAAATCTAAATTTAAATGAGAATTTTATCGGATGCGCTGTAGTCCTCTGCTCATACTATAAGTATAATCATGTTTTAATACATGCATACTAATTATAATTAGGTTAGCAATCTACGGCCAAGAATGCTAACCTACTTATGACCAGTCCCCACTGAAGGTTAGAGAACTAGTGGACAAATTAAGAAAAAAACTACAATAAAATTTTATTCGTTCAAGACGTACCCGCGTATTTATTGTACAACGCATTCCATGTGCATATATGTACATTTTTATTGTTTTTTGAATTTGAGGCGTGTATACCTTTATTTACTGGTGAAATCTCAGAAGATGGCGGAAAAAGTTCCTGAATTGTCGGAGTTTGCGGACAAATTTGTTAACGACACGAGCATCGATGACAATCCTCCTCATTTCATTATGAGCCTTATGGGTAAATAATGTCATTTGCAAACCATTAATTAAATTAAATTAAATTATACCATATAAAAATTAAAGAGTGATATTGTCCAAATGTGCCTGAGGCATACCTTGTTTTTTAGGGAATCATTCTGTCATTGCACTCCCCTTAAATTATGCATCGTTTTGGGAAGAAAATGTACGTCAAGTTTTACGAAGAGAACACTATATTGAATTACTCATAAATCAAAATTAAAAGATCATATGCAAAATCTCAGATATTATTATTGAAGTCACATTAATTATTCTGAGATGAACTGAGTGAGAATATGAGCAGTATGAGCCCATTTACTCAGATGAAGTAATTGAAAGCGAAATATAAATTAAATGTTTATTTTCCTGTCTTACGTGAAACTACTACCTTATATAGAGATTAAAAGAGTAATGTTACTTCAATAAATCCAGTATAGGACAATTTAATTGAGCAATTAGTTGTTGAGAATAAAGATTAAAATAGTAATCTTACAGTGAAAGTCGAACATATGGCCAAATAATAAAGCAATTAATTGTTGAGAGATTATGAACTAAATGCAGCGGCCCGCAGGCGCGCTGCCGTGCTGCGGCGCTGTGCCGGCGCCGCAGCACGCGATGTTCCATGCAGCGCACGCCGTCTTCCTCGCCGCCTACGTCGCCCCCAACACCCGCGGCGGTCTACTCGTCATGCACGGCCTACTCATCGCAGGTAGGGTAAAATATTTTACGTTTCATTTTTAAAGTTTCATATATGATAATCAGAGTTTCATATTTTGCATATATAATAATGAATCATTATAAAGTAAGTAACGCGAACATCGCAGGTAGGTTAAAGGTGACAGGAATATGGGAACTACGGGTTTCATATAGTAAATATATAATAACCAATCAATATGAAGTATGTAACATGAAAATAAATTAATTATGAGCGGGTTTCAACAATGGCCAATACGAGCTTTGAATAAATTAATGTACCCATTCAATGAAAGCGGCTTATTACACTCTAAATTGATTATGTGAGTAATTTATTCACAATATAATTTAGTAAAGGTTTAACATCGGGCGCTTAAATATCGGTAATATCTTTTAATGTCGGTATCGCTTATAACAGTAACGCTTTAATATTATTTCCCCAACATAATATAGTAACACTTTAAGATTATATCCACAATATAATTTAGTAAACTTTTAAAATTATATTCAAGATATAAATTAGCGAAGTTTTAATATCGGGCGCTTAAGGGTTCCTGGTGTACGGGATGTGGGCGTGGAACATCGCGTGTGCACGCGACGTGTTCTCGTGGGGCTTTTCCTTCACTGTCATCAACCTGGGCCAGACCCTCTACGTGCTCTACCAGACCAGACCGGTCAAGACCGACAAGGAGCTCGAGGCGGTCTACCACACTCTCTTCAGACCCCTAAATGTCAGTTCATTTCAGACTCCACTTGTCCGTTAATTTCAGACCCCATTGATCCGTTCGTTTCAGATCCCATTTTACCGTTCATTTCAGACCCCATTTGACGGTTCATTTCAAACCCCATTTGTCCGTTCACTTCAGAACCCATTTGCTCGTTCATTTCAGACCCCATTTGTCCGTTAATTTCAGACCCCATTTGTCCGTTCACTTCAGAACCCATTTGCTCGTTCATTTCAGACCCCATTTGTCCGTTAATTTCAGGCCTTATTAGTCCGTTCATTTCAGACCCTATTTCACGGTTCATTTCAAACCCCAGTTGTCCGTTCACTTCAGAACCCATTTGCTCGTTCATTTCAAACCCTATTTCTTTGTTCATTTCAGACCCCATTTGTTAGTTCATGTATAACAAAATAATAAAGTTATTTTAAATAATTTATAGCGTGATGACAGCCGATTTTCGTAAACAAATTATTTATTTTTACAAGTATTTGTATTTTACTACGACATAGGTTGAGCGACTTGTGTTCAAGAGGCTCGTGAGCAGCGAGTGCTGTCAAGTGTCCTCACTGCACGCTGGTGAAGCCTACGCCTTAGAGGGCCTCACTAGGACTGACCGCCTCGGCCTCCTCCTTTCAGGAAAGGTTGGCCTCATCAACCCTGTATTAAACTTTACCTGGCCTCATCAACCCAGTATTAAACTTTACCTGGCCTCATTAACCCAGTATTAAACTTTACCTGGCTTCATCAACCCAGTATTAAATTTTACCTGGCCTCATTAACCCTGTATTAAACTTTACCTGGCTTCATCAACCCAGTATTAAACTTTACCTGGCTTCATCAACCCTGTATTAAACTTTACCTGGCCTCATCAACCCAGTATTAAACTTTACTTGGCTTCATCAACCCAGTATTAAATTTTACCTGGCCTCATCAACCCAGTATTAAACTTTAGCAATGGAACTTTAATCAATTTTTTATATCAGTAGTCTTCTTAAATTGCAAGTTCGCCTGGAATTCCAAATCACATAAAAGCTCGAATAAAATCATCGTATTCACGTTTTCCGTGAAGAAATGGTGAATTTACTTGGCGTTTTCCTTGCTTCTAAGTACTTGATATTTTTATTTAATTTTCCTGGGTAAACAATGGCTTCATAATTTTGCTGTACCAGCCTAAATCATGAGAATTATTAACAATCTCTTTACCAACAAAAATCAATTGCAATTGTAGTTTTAATTTACGATAAAACCGAACGTTTGATTAGTCAACAAAAGACAACAGATTAAGCGATGATATGCCTTATTTTTCGTCAAGCATTCAAGCTCAGAATTCAATAGGATTTTATTCTTTTGGAGGCTGATCCACGTTGGCAATTTGTACTAGTTTGTTTATTTATTTTGGCAGGACCAGCTCAGAAACTACAAGTTTAGGTAACGAAGCTCGCTAATAAATGTGGATAAGTACATTGAATAATCAGCCATGTCATAAAGTTTATCGCTTAATTAACATTAATTATCGCTCATATGAGACCTCATTTCATTGATCAAAAATTTAAATATGTAAAATTCAGGACAGTTAGCTTTATATAAAATATGTACAATTTAGGACCGTGAGCTTTATGTAAAATATATAAAATTCAGGACGGTTAGCATTATGTAAAATTTGTACACTTCAGGACTTAGAGTTTTATGTAAAATATGTAAAATTCAGGACTGTGAGCTTTATGTTAAATATGTACAATTTAGGACCGTGGGCTTTATGAAAAATATATAAAATTCAGGACTATGAGCTTTACGTAAAATATATAAAATTCAGGACTTAGAGCGAGTCTATAGGTGGCATAGCCGCATGGGGCGTGGCAACAAGGAGTTTACTCTAGTGCTTTATTATTTATTCACTGAGTATTTGTGTTCAATATACAGCACTAGAATCAAGTTTCAAAAATCAGAAGTTCAAATTTAAAGTTTCCTGTTTCATTAAAAGTCATATTTATTACCTAACAGAGCAAGTCTTGTTAATTCAAATGGATTTATGAAATAAAAATTTATATTCAGAAGCGAAATATGATGAACTTTACGCGTATATAATATCATCCAGCATCGAGCGAGACCACAGGTTAAACTAACAATCATTGTAATGTAATGCCTACCCGCGCTGGTCAAACAAACTTGGTTTTGACACGCAAGACGATTGCCAGAGAACGAGGCGTAAAGGCTAGACTGAGTTGCTATTGTCCGTTTAATGGGCCCTGCTCAGTCGTAGTCGTTCTTTTAATTAGTTTCCAAAATTCAATTTCGGGACTAAAATTCTAATAATAAAGTATAAGTGCCAGTTTTTAAAATATCCTAGGTCACCACGCCCTCTCAAAGAGATGAAAACCTAGATAAGTTTTAGCTATCACTCTTCACTCTAGACTCATGTGAAAATTTCTCAATGAATCAATTATAAATTGCAAACAATAATTTACAGGAGATTTCTTAAACTAAGAAAAAAAATTAGTTAAAGTTACTACTTATCTTAATTGTACTCCTACTATATTAGTCTGTTTTCAGCGAATTCTTAATAACACCTAATTTTGTATTACTTAGGTACACGGATTGCCATAAGTACAGGTAGCAGCCTATTTCTAGACTGTGATTGTAAGGTTCACTTGGAGAAGCCTTCAGTGTTTTTGATAGAATTTACCCCATATTATTACAAGTAAGGAGGAAATTAGCGAACACTTTTTATTTCTTATTTTTAGCGCATTTATTCATTTATGGAAAAAGGCGCTATTGTGCTCGCCATGTTCGTCCGTCCGTCTGTCTGTCTGTCCGTCCGTGACTTCACGTTTTTGTCGACGAAAAAATGTGCTCTCTGTCACTCACTGCAGTGAGTACTGAGTTATATTTTTTGTAAATTCGGCGCAGGTTACAGTGTCATCGGCAGGCCAGGTGCTCCATAGTGTCGGGCCAATGCAGTTCCTCGACTCGCCTGAGTTTGAATCTTCGAGGGCAGCGATCGACGACAAGTTCAAGGTAACTGCCAGCAGTTCAAGGCAACTGCCAGCGGTTCAAGGCAACTGCCAGCAGTTCAAGGCAACTGCCAGCAGTTCAAGGCAACTGCCAGCGGTTCAAGACAACTGCCAGCAGTTCAAGGCAACTGCTAAGGTAACTGCCAGCAGTTCAAGGTAACTGCCAGCAGTTCAAGGAAACTGCTAGCAGTTCAAGGTAACTGCCAGCAGCTCAAGGTAACTGCCAGCGGTTCAAGGTAACTGCCAGCAGTTCAAGGTAACTGCCAGCAGTTCAAGGTAACTGTCAGAAGTTCAAGGTAACTGCCAGCAGTTCAAGGTAACTGCCAGAAGTTCAAGGTAACTGCCAGAAGTTCAAGGTAACTGCCAGCAGTTCAAGGTAACTGCCAGCAGTTTATGACAAGTCGTGAGCCTGCAGCTTGTGTCTAAGAGGAGCTTTTCTTTGGCTCAAAGACTAGACATTCAATATTTGTTTTGCTGCGGGGATAGATAGAGAGGTATAAGTTACTTGAATTTCAAGATCAGTTTAGAATGGAGGTGGAGTGGTATGAATTACTTGTATTTTCCTGGAATCATTCATATAATACGACAGCACTCCTTCATGGATTACTATTTCAATATAAATAATTTTTTCGTTACCAACTTCATTTTCTTCGAATCAAAATCATTTATAATCTATATGTGATTTTTTTGTCATCGTTCAACATAACTAAATTTATCTTGCCATGTGCCTATTGTTTAAACATCCCCACTCTAGATGTCCATCGCATCATCTCCCTGACTTCAATTTTCTATCCCAGCACCTCAATGGATTTATATGTCCATCGTATCACAACTTCAACTCTAGATGTCGGAAATCACCCTTGCTTTTAGAAAAAGCTAGAGAAATCTGGATAGAGAAATCACCCTTGCTCTTATAGAAAGATAGAGAAATCAAGATAGAGAAATCACCCTTGCTTTTAGACGTATACAGTATGGGAAGGGTGGCCCAGTGGTTACACCAAGAGCCCACCACATGGTTCAGAGTACGAAGATTGGTGCAGCGAGACACGGGTTCTGTGCGCCAGTTTCTGGTCAGAATCGGCAAGGAGGCCGGTCGCATAAGCAAAGAAAATGTTATGCAGTGAGTTACGAGTTCAAGCCCGCAACAAGCTATGGATGTTCTGCAATGTTAAAAACTGGCGACAGGCCTATGGCCTAATAAACGCTGAAACCGATATATATATTATATATAGTATCACGTACCTCTATACAACTAGACATGGATATCCTTGTAAGTTATAACAAATTTGATTACCACTGCAACAGGTTTCCATCATAGCGGCTACAACAAGCCGCTACCTTTTCTGGAAGCGGTCCAGTTTGGAACACTTGTTTTTGAAGGACCAGCACCTGACTACCGTGTTGTCCACCCTGGTGGCCAGAGATATAACCACCAAACTTTATTGCATGAACGAGAAGGTAAGTTTGCTTGGACATCATGAATGATAACTGTGCATCGAGAGTGTGAATGATGTTTTGATAGCATGAAAAATGTTTATAAAGAAGAATGATATAGGTCACTAATCATTTGTACTCGTTTATTAATAATAAAAAACTTAGATAATCTGTCCATTCTGCACAGCATGAGAAAGGAATGCGGAGAGAATTCCGTTCACACCACTTACACAAAAATACAATGATGTTCTTGAAACATGCAAAAAATGTAATTATATGCAAGCAGCCTTCATGGAAAGATAATGGTACGCCTATATAATAGCTTATATGACTCAAAGGCCATAGCAATCAGTAATGACCTCACTCGGCGCATTCCTACATGCATGGCAAAACACATATTTTAACTTCATATAGTACTTCTTGGATCGCAAAAACGAAAATCTGATCTTCACAAAATCTTACATACATGGCGTTGGCACTGATATTTACGGCAAAAATTTTCATGACCAACATGAGGTCAAGCTTATTCCCAGTTATCTTAATATATATGGTTATATATATTTATTATTGGCAGAATTATCTATTATTATTATTATGGCAGAATTCTCTTGATTATATGCGTATTTGAATTTATGTATTCATTTATTAGAATTCATACGCATATAAAATACGCATTAATTTTTTTGAATTTATATATATTAATGTCCACAGTTATGTGATAGACTATAAATAATTCTTCGTACGCCAGATCGTAACGGAGAAAGACTCTCATATTTATTATTATAAGATGGCAGAATTATCTTGTTTATATGCGTATTTAAATTCATGTATTTACTTATTTGAATTCATACGATTATAAAATACTCATTAATTCATTCGAATTTATACATATTTTTGTCCACAATTAAATGGACTATAAATAGTTCTTTGTGCACCAGATCGTATAAACATATAAATAGTAAATATAAAATATATAAATATATAAAAAGTTCTTTGTGCACCAGATAGTAACGGAGAAAAGTTCTCACCTGGACATACGCTTATAAAATACGCATTAATTTACTTGAATTTATATATATTTATGTCCACAGTTATATGATGGACTATAAATAATTTTTCGTACACCAGATCGTAACAGAGAAAGGTTCTCACCTGGACATCAGGCTTCCCTCGCTCACCGCGTCCCTCAATCCAACCCTCGTTGTTGTGCCCCACACAGCCTCACCCTCCCTGTCCCCCGTCGGGACCACCGAAGTGAGGACCCAGCCTAACTGGTGGGTCCATACCCGTCCGAAAATATGTATTTGTTATAGGATTCTCAAGAATTTATTTATATTTTATTTTATTTATCAGTCGTTTCTGTACAAAATTATTCACGTATTAATTAATTTGTTTTTCTCCCTATGACACAAAAGAGAGTATTTTTCCTAAAATTGTAATGTAGTTGTAAATGTAATCGAAAAATTCACTTGGTATTTTCATTCTTAATCAGACTTTAATAGCACCATGGCTGCTTTCATTGGATTCATTATAATAAGAATCCCCAACCCTCCCGACAGGGGTGAGGGAGCAGCACAGAGGGCTGGTTTCCCCACGACCCCCGTGGGTGGGGGATTTGGCGCTCCCCTCGGCTACAGCAACTCATCAGCAGGTACCAAAAAAATGTTAATTACATTTTTCCGTAAAATGTTCATTAGTGTTTTTTACGCGTGACAAATTGTAATATTTATCACCTGAAAACTGGGTTCTTGGCTCAAATATCGTGCCTAATTTTTTTATATATGCGAGAATTTGAGCTCTGGCCTCTAAGTTTAATCCTCCTTTTGTAGGACAGCTTGCAAAGTTTGAACGCAAGATTAAGATGCATTTGATCATTTCAATGAAATTCAACTTAAAGGATTACTTTTAAAGTTGAGGATCAAGGTTTCAAAATTATAATGAACTTCGAGATTTTAAATGGAGCTGTTTTTTCTTCGGTAGTCATGTTAAATTATGAATAGATCGAATATTAAGGAATTGAAATCGTAAAAAATGCGATAGAATTCTATATTTTATAGTATGACTTAATTTCTTACGATAATTTGAAGAAATTTCCTAAATGGGAAAATTTGTATATTGTAACTAAAATGAAATCTACATTAAAAAAATATTCGTGGAGAAAAGTTTAAAAATAAATAATAAATATTATTATTTAACTTGATTTCCCTGCCTAACAACTCTGCTGTAAGATCAGTTTTATTTGTAGCTGAGCTGCTCTCCAGCGACGGCATCACGGCCGGCAACGGCGCACCGCCGGCCAACAAGATGGAGCATCCATTGCACTGACTCCATCGTTGTACTCATTCATGGTCCAACGATAAAAATAAATATATCGTAATAACCACATTTTAGTGAGTAGTCCCTAACCAATCATAAGAAAAATAAATATTTATGCAGTTATTTACGCCCATAATTGAATAGTCATAATAATAGAAAAAACGAAAACAAGTATTCGTTTCAGTTGTTTCATTAAATCGAAAATTACTCATATATATAAATATAATAGCAAAGAAACAGCCATGTAAATATACCTTGTTCAAGAGTTGCATCTTAGTTTAAAACTTTAAAAATATAAGCATAGTTTAAATATAAATCATAATTGTATTGATCATACTTGTTTTCTTGTTATTTTTAACTAATGGCGAAGCTGATCTCCCGAACGTTTTCTTAGAATCAATGGTGAATTTGCTTAGAATTTTCTTTATTTCTAAATTCTTTGACAACAACCTAGGATAATATAACTGACGGCGCCAAGATGTGTCTTTGTCCTGAATTTATATAATTGTATTTCCAGTAATTATGAACTGCTATAAAATAACCCATTGTGGTGTTTAGATTTGATTTTATCCCAATGATTTATCTCAGTATGAAGGTATCCACCATACGTAGTAACAATTCTATAATGGGCCCATTCCGGGCTAATGCTTGACCCATGCCGAGCTCATTGCACCCATAACGTAAACAATGTGAAAATTAGTTGGCATTATGGTATCAAAGTGTGAGCCCTATATCGCTGCCACTCCAATCCAAGTCTGCATGGTATTGACGAGTGGCTGCGACGTGGTACACGAGTTACAAGTCCAGTTAATATATTAGTGGTTCTGTGATTTATTTGACGATTACGTGGCAAAGCAAAATTTCTCTGATAATCATTGTCGGGGCAAATTTGAATGCGTTCAATGATTTAACGAACTCTGTCTCAGTATAACTTCAAATACGAAAAAAGTATGTCAGTTAGCCAATTTTTTCTAAGTTGTCCAAGATTTTGCGAAATAGTGCAATGAAATTTATTAAATAGCTATAATATATTATTCTCTGCATTCTGACGTATCATTTATTCCCGCATTCCTATTCTATCAACGCATTATATATCTAATACATTTCGCAAGACGACAAGAATCCTCGCTGTTTTTTCGGCATCCTGTTACATCACGTATTACTCCAATTCTGCAAGATGCCTGACTGCGTAGGGGTAGCAACCTTTCTTCAAATAAAATTAATTGTTAAAGAAACAACCCTCATGCTTGAAATGGTCTGATTATTTAGAAAAAGAGTCCGCTTCAAGGACGAAAGACTCTTTCAAGGATGCTCATATCATTCTACTTGAAGAAGCCACAAGCAAAAAAAAACGATTTTTCTATAGGAAATCAAAATTTCTGATTGAGCACTAATTAGTAGAAAGGCTCTTTTATTTGTTGCACGCCAGTAGTCGACGCAGAGTCGAAGCGAGCGGATAAAGCAGCGTCCCATGTCCAGGAATTACGTGAGTCCTGAGTCATCAAAAGAACTATTGCATGAACAATTGAATATCGGGAGCGGTACAAAGCAGTTAAGACCTGGAACGCATCTTTGTTATCAACCTTGAACTTAATGTCCGGTTTGGGGCATTAATTTAGCATTAAACATGGCTCAGTAATTGGGTATTGGGGCATTAATATAATGACACATTGGGGCATTAATTTAGCATTAAACATTTAACATGGCTGTTAAATGATGTCATCTGTTTTTATCCTCTCGTGTATTTTTTAGCCACTGGTAACGTGCCCTCGAAGTTCGATCTGAACGAGACGCCACGACAATCTCTTCGTGAAATAATAATAATAAATAATAATAATAATAATAATAATAAATAATAATAATAATAATGGCTCAAATGAACGTAGCACGGAAAACTTAACACAATACCTGTACGATCGGCCAAGATGCGTGTAGGCTGAGGTGGTGCCAGCAGCCAGCTGGCACTGCCTGACACCAATCAAAATATTCGATGACATCAGCTGGTACTACATCACCCATGGGGTAAGGCAACTTTACCTGAATAAAGACTAATTTCAAATAATATAATTCGTAATAATCATTCGAATACGAATTAAAGCTTACATCTGGCAAACTATAATGATCATGCATTAATGAAGAAACTCGCCTTATTTTGTCAGAAGAAGGGCTTGAAAAAATAATGAAAACCGGATACACGACATACGTGTCTCAGTACAGTGAAAATAATATAAAAATATAGAGGTTGTAACGAGTTCACGGACGAATGTTGATCATAGGTTACGTGTAGGTGAAGTGTGGAACAAGAAGCCGTTAATTCCCTCGGCGACATAAGAAGAAAAATAAATATAAAATAAAAAAATAGAAATAAATATGAATAAATAAATTTTCTTAAATAAAATATCAAAAAACATGTATCATGAAACCGGCCTCACAAGATAATACGTACACAGGGCACGACTCCATACATACTGAAGGTGAAATGAATTACTTTTAATGACTCGAAAATATTATTTTGTGTTAATAAACCGGAATGATTGTATACTTATTCCCGTCACCAAAAAAAGCCCCATTGAACCGCTGGCATATTTTAAGAGTACAATATAATTAATGGGAAATTACTCGATATCTCTACAATTAAATAAATTAATTGAAAGTGATTAGGTGTGATAGTTTCTACAGTAACGATTTGTGAACAAATCGCACACAAATGCAAAAATATTTATTTTATTTATTTCATTATTCAAAGGTGATTTTAAAATGAAACCCACTTTTTAAATCATGCATATTTATCGCTCGTAAAAATTTAGTGACTTCGAAATACTAATCAGGAGAACTTCGTATACCGACTAAAATAATGCTCAGTGTGACATGCACTAATAAGCCTTATTGACCAAGTATTTCACCTAAATTAATAAATAAGAATAAAAAACAACAAAGAATGTTAAAAAACGAAAGAAAAACTTTTGCGACGCAGATCAAACTCACTCTCAATTTTACTATAGGCTATTTATTTTGCTTCATTTCTGCTGATTTTGATCTTTGCATCTCTAATCTGTTCTTCTCTGAGTCGATCGCTCTATTTCGAAAATTCAATATTATAGTTAGTGGAATTTTTGGTCGATTTTTATACGATTCCTGCATGTTCGGCCGGTCACATATACCGTTTGTACCAACGTTGCGAGACAGTTGCCCAGTAGCCGTCAAGTGAAGCAGTCGTTGTACTTTTCCTCTCCAGCCGACGCGGTCGACGAGTGGAGAAATATCGTGGAAACGTTTGTTTCTTCACAAGCCCTCGATCTTTCTTGGTTATTTTTTTGTTAATTCTAAAATGGCAGTGAAGAGGTCTTGATAAATGCTTTGCTGGTGAAGATGTCCTAAAAGGAAATTATGATGGTGTATTATTAATTATACTCTAACATTAATATGGCAAAGATAATGATTTTTATAACTCTTGCCCCTACAAAAATAAAAAACTATATTGCATTTATGGAAAAACTGAAATTAAGGCGCTGTTCTCCATAGGTCATTTACTTTGTGCAGCGATTTTTGGAACGATTAATAAGGTTGAAAATATTTTTTTGGCAGTGAGTTACTTTTTTAAAAACATGACTTCCGAGAGAAATAATTATTGAATTTGTGGCTGTTAATTCCAAAACTTATATATTTCAATGTGCATTTTAACCATGAAAGTAAGTGGGCTTTGTAAGAAAATCAGCCTCGATGTTTTTCGTAAGAATCTTAATATTAACAATTCCCAGTTCTAGTAAATTTTTGTATAAATTTCATGTATTATTTCATGTATTAGTAAAATTTCATGAATAACAAACAATAGATTAAATTCGTACAGGTTCGTGCAACGTCTGGAAATTGATACAAATTCTAGAGCAATTGAAATCTAACAATTGAAAACGTTCCGTAAATAAATAAATATATTTTGTTCACTAATTAAGTAATCCTCATCTTCATTAATCTTAGTTTGAGAAATAATTTTCTTTCACGGCAAATGAAGGCCAAAATAAAGTTCAAAGGCCATACATGACTTCATAAGTTGATAAAATTAAAACGTTATGAGCCAAGTATACCTTGATATGCCTATAATAACTTGATACGCCAATAATAACTTTATACGCCAATAATAACTCGATACACCAATAATAACTTGATACACCAATAATAACTTGATACGCCAATAATAACTTGATACGCCAATAATAACTTGATACGCCAATAATAACTCGATACACCAATAATAAGTTGATACGCCTATAATAACTCGATACGCCAATAATAACTTGATACGCCAATAATAATCTCAACTGCCAAAAATAACGTTCGATGCTAATTATAGTAACGGCAGTTACGGGTTAATAATAATGTCGCTATTTATAATTTCCTTGAAACACTAAATACGAGCAAAAAGAAAACTTGGTTGAACATCAAGTTGAGCATATCAAACACATGAGACAATTAATTTTAAAATATATGAGTTTTTCTGTGTAATAGAAAAATTTTTATGAAAAAATATTTCATGAATCATATTTTAAAATCTTTACTCTTTTCTAAATATTAGAAAATTTTAATTCATATTTTACTAACTTCCAAATATGACCAGAAAACATTTTATAGATTAAACCATCGCTTATCAGCAATGTGGATAAACAATTAGTGTCATTTTTATACAATTTATACATGCATTATAGAAATAATTAGGTTATGAAAGTATGAAAATGTATGAAGATTATGAAGTAAGTATGAAAACTACCGATTTGAGCAGCAGTTGTTTTTGACAAACGTGAAACAGGTGCACCGCTGCGGCTTGGCAGGAGACTGCAACTTTTTGTGCCGACCTTTTGAAATTTTATATTGAGGCTACGGCAACACAGGCTAGGCTGTACCTTGCATAATATGAGACGTGAAAAGGCCGAGGAAAGGGGGCAAATAAATATGAGACGTGAAAAGGCCGAGGAAAGGGGGGCAAATATACGAGACATACAGCAGAAGTGTCAATAAATCTTAAATCTATTGACACTTCTGCCTCAATTTACCGACACATCGTGAAAAAGCCGAGAAAAGGGCAAGTATACGGGACATACGGTGGATTTGTTAAAAATTAATAAATAGTAAATTTTACAAATTGAGTCAAAGTTGGTGCGGGAAATTCCATT